CTCCGGGCAAACTTCTGATTTCAAATTTAGATGGTAAACGGGAGCGGATGTTGTAATGGAAATGTAGTATTACTTTAAGTCCAATAAATTTAGTATGAATTCCAATGTACATTAAATACAGTTTATGAAACAGAACAATGAATTATCTGAATATGATATCTTATGGGAGAAACTTTATCAAGATCATTCTTAACTAAATATAATAAAAAAAAATATATATAATCTTCACCTAGAATAAATTTTCCACATTTTCTTATAAGGAAAAGAACAACACTCTGGCACCCACCTGTGAATTCTCTTTATCATTGGTTTTCGTTTCTTTTTTTTTCTTTTTTCAGGACATACCAGACCGTCGTGTTAGATCCCGAGGGAGACTCCCAGATCGATCCCAACTGGGTCATTTACAACAAAGGCGCTGAGATTGTCCAGACCATGAACTCTGACCCCGGTCTTGCTGTGGGTGAGTAGAGGTCAGGTGGTTTTTGAGGGAGGGTTAGGTACTAGGTCATTTTTAAGCTTTGATTGAAGAAAAAGTTTTGGGGGAAAATAGGGAAGAATATTTTGAATTGTTGGTGGAAAGATGCAAGGAATATGTGGTTTTCAGGTATTTGTTCATACTAAGTTAATACTTTCAACAAAGCAAACGTTGTCTGAAATTTTTTTTTTCTTTTAATGAAAGTTTTTATTTCGTCCCTTGTAATACAGCTAGATAAAATGATGAACAAATAAAATATCATGAACAGAATAAGATAGAGAAATTATGAACAGAATAAGATAGAGAAATAAGATAAGTGAATATGTAAGTAAAAAAAAAAAAAAAAAAATTAACACACTCACCCCCCCCCCCCAGGCTACCATAGGTTCGGCGGCGTCGATTTCGAGGGCACCTTCTTCGTCGACACCGAGATCGACGATGACTACGTAGGCTTTATATTCAGGTGAGTATTACGAAGCTCGCTAAGAAGGGAAACCTACGAGCAAAAGACAGCTGGTTTAGTACACTCTTCAGCGGAAAGCGTGTCTAGTCATTATGTTTTTTTATTTCATCATTATCATGTTTGGAAGCTGCGGTGTTCCAGGGTAGCTTCCGTGGTTTACCATTAATAAGAGGGACTTATTATACACATATTCTCTCTCTCTCTCTCTCTCTCTCTCTCTCTCTCTCTCTCTCTCTCTCTCTCTCTCTCTCCCTCTCTCTCTCTCTCTCTCTCTCTCTCTCTCTCTCTCCCTCTCTCTCTCCTCTCTCTCTCTCTCTCTCTCTCTCTCTCTCTCTCTCTCTCTCTCTCTCTCTCTCTCTCTCTCTCTCTCTCTCTCTCTCTCTCTCTCTCTCTCTCTCTCTCTCTCTCTCTCTCTCTCTCCTCTCTCTCTCCCTCTCTCTCTCCCTCTCTCTCTCCTCTCTCTCTCTCTCTCTCTCTCCTCTCTCTCTCTCTCTCTCTCTCTCTCTCTCTCTCTCTCTCTCTCTCTCTCTCTCTCTCTCTCTCTCTCTCTCTCTCTCTCTCTCTCTCTCATACACATACACGAATTAATATCAGTAAAACGTATGTATACACGAATAGCGTAGCGCACGCTCTCACAGACACGAACTGGCGTGTCAACAGAACAAAAATAGAAAAGAAATGAACAGAAGTCAAAGAATGAAAGAAATACGAAGAAATGTAGGCAGATGGATAAAAGTATATGAATTGACACTTTGATAGGCAGCCTCAGGATGCTGTAGAAGCGGAACCGTCGACTGATATTGGCAAGTCAGATAAAAATGGGATAGATATATAAAGGAAAAAAAGTCGTGTGTGTATGCGCGTAGGTGTAAACAGACAGACACACACACACACACACACACACACACACACACACACACACACACACACACACACACACACACACACACACACACACACACACACACACACACACACACACGTACACACTAACACGCGCGCGTTTTTGCGTGAACATGTCTGTATGCATGTTATACATATATGTATACACACAGACACACACACGCACACACACACACACACACACACACACACACACACACACACACACACACACACACACACACACACACACACACACACACACACACACACACACACGCGCCCGTTTTTGCGTGAACATGTTTGTATGCATGTACTCAGGTGTGTCTGTGAATATAAACAAAATAAAAAAAAAATTATCGCGCAACAATTGCATCTTTTATCAGCTTTTTGACAGTCATGAACCGTGCTAATGAGTCACACCTGCCATGAATACCTCTTAATTAGGAACGCAACTCGAACTCCGGAGAAACTCCTAATTAACAACACAACCAGTTTTATTTGAAGTTACTCTTTTCCCCTGTAAATTACTGACGTGAACGCAACTTTTATGTACAAAGACTGGAGGGAGAAGTCTCTTTTTCATCGATGAATCTATGAAGAAATTCGACGAGATTGCTCTTAAAAACGACAGGATTATAGATAAAAAAGGGCACGCCAAACACCCCCTCGCTTGGTCTTTTTCTTAATTGGCTTGATCTTTTAACCTATCAAGCGATTTTAATTGTATAGAAAACGATATAACTGATGATATAATCTTTCTGCGAATTAGTTTTTTTTGGCCTTAATTCTTCAGGAAAAAAGGAAAGCTTGTTCTTTTTGCTTCCCTCGCTCGTGCGTAGCCAGAAAATAGAATGACTTCTAGTGATAACGATTGTTCATTTCTGACACCGTGTCTGTTCGCTGTGGAATCTGTGTCAGTTTGTTCTCTGAGCCGGGAAGACACGGGGGTAGAGGGGAGGATGGAGAGAGAGAGAGAGAGAGAGAGAGAGAGAGAGAGAGAGAGAGAGAGAGAGAGAGAGAGAGAGAGAGAGAGAGAGAGAGAGAGAAATAGATAGATGGAGAGAAAGAGAGAGACTTAGCAAAAGATGACATACGAGCAAGACCCTCAGCAGGAACAGCAAAGAAAAAAGTATAAGAGAAAGCGGATAAAAGAAAGAAAGAAAAAACAGTAACAGCGCCACAAAAACCCAGTCCGCTCGCCTTTCAGTCCCGGCGGCCTCCAGCCACTTTCGCAACTCACCTTCCGTCACCTTGTCCTTTGCAGTTACCAAGACAACGGCAACTTCTACACGGTCATGTGGAAGAAGAACACGCAGACGTACTGGCAGGCGACGCCCTTCCGAGCCGTGGCCGAGCCCGGGATCCAGCTGAAGCTCGTCGAGTCGTCCACGGGCCCGGGGCAGATGATGAGGAATTCGCTGTGGCACACGGGAGACACGGAGGACCAGGTGGGTGTGTGGGCGGGGGGGCGGGGGGGAACGAAGGGAGAGGGCACCTGTGAGAATTGTCCTCTGTCCATATCTGTCTTTGATTTATTGATCGGTTTTTGTAATGTAAAAAATGGGATAGCTATACAAGATCGTAAAAAAATGAAGAACAACAATTTGTCCTTCGTCACTTTACATCTTCGCGTTCGTTCATCGCTTCATCGTTTCTCTTTCCCTACCTCCATCCAGGTCAAACTTCTGTGGAAGGATCCGCGCAACGTAGGATGGAAGGAGAGGACCGCCTACCGATGGCTCCTGCTCCACCGTCCCAAGATCGGTCTGATTCGCCTGCGCATCTTCGAGGGCGAGAACATGGTGGCCGACTCAGGGAACATTTACGACAACCAGCTGAAGGGCGGCCGCCTAGGTGTGTTCTGCTTCTCGCAGGAAATGATCATCTGGTCCGATCTCGTCTATAGGTGTAACGGTAAGTTTCGCGGGGACACCTGCGCTGGATTTCCCGTTTAGTTTATGAACCTCAGCTGAATGCATGGTTAATCAAATACATCACCTCCATTCTAGCATCATTCTTACATATCTGTTTAAGCTCAGAAAAACGAATCCTTATCAAACCGCCCCCCTCCCCAACAGACCACGTTCCCGAGAGCATCTACAACCAGCTCACTCCTGAGCTCCAGGGGCTGGTCGACATCGACGTGAGCCGACCGGTGCCCAACGGCCTCTAAGCGAGCGAGCGGGAAGGCCTACGACTAGTAGTAGCGGGGAATGGCAAGCTACTACGGCTATTTGGGAAAAAAAGGTCACAGAGAAAGAAAATCAGGAACTAAAGAAGAAGTATTTATAGTCAGAGGAAGACAAGTAATGGCGGATGATGGAGGTTGCAATTTAATAAATTGTCTCGAAAGATGTCCGGGTGGTCTTGGCTTTGGCTTCGGTATCACGCTATTAACGGACTATCAAACAGCGAATGCGTTCGAAAGCGCGCACAAGTATGCCTGAGGAACTGTCTGGAGATCGAACAGGACGACGTCTGAAGGTTGACCGAAGTCACGCCAACAAGGAATCTCCTGAGGAGGCCTGGCCCTCCTCTCGTCCTCCCGGGTGTTCGATGACAACACAGCTTGTAATTTTTCACTCTAAAAATCACAAACCATAAGACTTACTTTAGAATATTTGAATTAGAAAGATCTATCTGAGGTTATGACATATTTTTAAGGTAATATGTACATTTTGAAGCAACGGTCAAGCCGTGTACATAGCTTTCTTTGTTTACAGCACGTTCGTTTCATACTCGTATTCAGGCTCGGTTTATGATTAGGTAGAATCAGTTATTCATTGGCGCATCTTAACTAAGCTTGGTTCCTATTGGCTGGAAGTCTTCGTCCTCTGCTTAGGGTTGCTGAGTGCTATCATTAAGTTTAATCATCGATGGACAGCGTCATTGTTAAGCTTATCGTCATTAGCGTGGAGGCGTAAGGGTGCTTCTTGTTATTGTTAGGCTGCTGTTATAACGCGTTCTGTTTTATTTGTTATCGTTGCATTATTGTTTTGATTGTCTTCTTTTTTATTAATTTACCTATTTGTTTCTTTACGTTGGTTTTATTTATGCGTTTAAGAAAATGTTATTTTATTGTCTATCCCTTTCTTAAATCAGCATTCAGCCTTGGGACGCGGGCCTCATGCAAGCGCTGCCTTTTTTTTCCCAAACTGTTGCCTTTTGAACTCGAAATGAATACCATTGCTGGGTATGTAGCTTAACGAAGTCGTTTATAGAAAGACAGATTATACCGTTGCCTTAAACTACAGCCAAAAAATCTTGTAGAAAAGTCGAGTATGTAGATTAGCGCCTTAACGAATTTTTGTTATTTTTTTGTTTTTGTTTTTTTTGAAGTAATAGTAATCTGCTGTTTCTGTTTTTGCAGATTAATTGAAATCTTATTTTTTTCATATAATATTATAATGTAACATATCAAATATTCATGTCATATTAATAAGGAACATCTCGGTATTTTCTTCATTCCAGCGATTTTTTTCTAGACATTTATTACAATAAAAAATTATTACGTGACTTAATTAAGTGTAGTGGAGAGAGACTGATTTGCTCCAGTGGCATTGGCGAAGCAGTTGTGAAGTAAAGATAAGGACTTTGTCATTATGCAAAACCAAGGATTGTGTGAGATTTGTTTACTTATAATATTTACTTATGGAGACTAAAAAACTCACAAAATTCTTAGAATAAGTGTTGTTGTTTAAATGTTCACTTGTTGTTTTTTTCCATCTAATTTAACGCTTAGTTTATTTAAGTAGATTTTAACCATTTTTTTTTCAAAACTTCAACTTCCGGGTGTCCCGGATGTGGCTCAACTCGCCCACTAATGACGTCATTGTGACCTCATTACTCTTCCTTGCCTTCACGGAAAATTCGTGACGTCATGTAAATAGATGGCGTCATTTATGACGTCATAAGTGGAGAGGAACTGCGACCCATCTATTAATGGTTTCCAATTTATTATAAAAAACCTAACAGTCAATGTAGATTCTTAAGTTTCACCTCCATCTTCTTATTGACATAAATAAATAAAAAAAAACTCAGAAGTTTGTTTTAGTATTTTATCCCACATGAAAATAATATAATTATATTCAAGACTAAGTATGTATTTATACAGATGATATCTTATTCTACTTGCAATCAAAAATACTGCATCATTAATTTAAATATCAACGATACAAGCATGATTGCCAATCCTCAACAAATACACAATGATTTTCGAAATAGCTGAACAATGAAAACATTAAAAATCACTGTCAATTAATTATACAGAGGTATTAACGTAAACAGTGCTGAAGAGCCATAAAGAAATATTTTATTATAATTAAAAATAATAATTGACTTTTATTTCATTTATTGCAATGGGTATGCTTGGTATGATATGCTGTCTGTTTTATTTTGCTTCAAAACTACCCCCTGTGTGCAAGGAATGGCCGGGTTGCCATCCACCGGCGGCGAGGGATTTGGACGCAGGTCACCGGGATCGCTAGACGAGATCGTTGCCGCTACACCGCACAGCACATCAACAGCAAACATGTAGAGAAACTCCAGAAATTTGATTACGAGAGACTTAAAATCATAGACAGTCAATAGTCGTTACGAAATGATTAAATAAATCATGATTATGATAAATAAAAAAGACATTTAGAAAATCGACAATAAAAAAGGCACTTAGAAAATCGACAACAAACGAGGCAATTAGGAATCGACAATAAAAAGACATTTAGAAAATCGCCAAACAACATCCAGAGCGACATAAACGAAGAGGAACAATAAACAGAAGAACAGGGAACAAATCACCGCACAACATTTTCTTGAAAGTTGCCCGTGTATACGACTCGATGCACCGCTCAAAAACACATCTGAATCTGAATAAGACCTTTAACATGAAGAATCCCCTTCAAAAAAGTTAGTGAATAATTTTACATGTTATTAGGAGCGAGATCATTAATCTTCTGGATCCTTATTTGGAAAGTTGTATAAGTTTCGTTTTTTTTTTTTTAACCTCTGTATAATTTTGTATAATCTCCTTATGAAACAAGATTGTGCTACGAAAACGAACCCAGAATTGTTAACATAATCAACGACTATCAGCTTTTTTTTTCCTCGTCTCTGTAGCCTCATTATCATTGGCGCCAAACCACATGCCAAGGTATGATGGACCAATAGGGAGGGAGTATTTTATCGGGCGGGGTAGGAAGCGGCCACCTGATTGGTCAGTTGAGGAGGTGTGTCCCTTGACGACGACGAGGGAAGCGACAGAGCATAATGAAACTTGTGGCATTTACGCATTATCTGAGCAGGACACAGATGCATAAGGCTGGTATCCTAGGAGAGTATAGTTGTCGAATCGGCCTAACATGCTCTCTGGATCGAGTTGTAGCCATCGAGACTTCCGAAGTTTATAAGAAGCAAAACTCGTCAAGGACAAGATCAGTGTGGCGATTGACGAAGATCCTGTGCCCACGCGTGCCCCTGTCTCCTTGCTTACGCGGCCGTGTCCAAGGAATTCCTTAGCTATTTATATAATTGAGGGAAAAAATAGATTGAGTTCACAGCAGTGAAGGATATTAGGGTGATAGAGGACATACCGAAAACCACTCTAGGTCATCATGAGCACCCTTACCGTGACCTCGCCTCCCCCCGCCCTGGCCATCGGAAGGGGTCAGGCAAGGCCAGT